TAAGTATATAACTTGGATTAAGATTAACTAAAACTTATAATCTTGTTTTTTCAACTATTATTTATCATTTTCAGTAGCTTGATATCTCTTTTTCTTTTACTATTCTGATCTTGTGATTTTATTATCCATTTACACATAGATAATTTAATTTAAACCACACTGTCAAATATAACCAAAAAACAAAACAAAAAAATTCTGAAAGCAGTGAGAAGTTTGAATATTATTACCCTCAAACGTAACAACAATATTCTGCAGTTCCTATAACTTGAGTTATATGTTTGAATTTAACGACTCTCATCATCCATTGGCCAAACACTAAACCAAAAGTATTTCCAGCAATTTTATAATTAATTTAGAAATTCAGAGTAAACGAATGTAACTTTAAAAAATTGCGAGTTGGACGGTAATGCGATCTACATATATTCTTTGCTTGCACTGACATTGTAATGATCTTAATTTTGAAAACTAATGAAATAAAATATTATCGATGAAACATAGGATTCCCTCAATTAGTAACCATAGTGGTTAAGCTAAGATAAGCGTGGATTTATATAAAATTATCAATCGAATAATTAAGAAAACCAGATAATCTGATACGTTTTTTCTATATATTATATATTATCAAGAATCATGGTGTAAGAGATACAGATAAATTGAGAATATACAATACCACGAAACACCAATGCATGGATTAGGTAGCAATTAAGAGAAAGGAAAGCTCATCCAATTAAAAAACAACGCAGGTTTAAATAATTGTCATATGTGTAGTTTGTTTTCGTTTTTTCATGTAAAATACAAGCATTTAATATAAGCATTTACGAAGAAATGTCTTCGTCCAATATCTTGAGGGCTTGTGGTTCCTACTAAGCTTGTCACTTTCTATATATAAAATTCAATCTCTAATCCTCAAAAAAGGAATACGAGAAAGTGCCAATCTTAATCTATACAATTCAAGAGCCATACCTTGAATAAAACCATCATTCTTTTTTTTTTGTTTTTAATCAGAAATCAAGCATCATTTAAAAACTCTAAAATAAACTTCATCCAATTAAAAACTATCATTTAGCTCTTTGGTATCACCATCGTTTAACTTTTTAACATAAATTTTTATTATACATAAAATGAAATAAAAAATACATGTTAGAAGTTACCAAAAGAATTACACAACAAAACAATTACATATCATCATTTACGATAAAATAAATATATTATTCTTATACGGTAAACATATAAGATTTAAAAAAAAAATAAACATATAAGATTACAAGATAAACCCAACACAAATCTTGAAGTTTACAATTTATTAATACTAATCAATAAAAAATGT